CTGATGCCAGTGAAAAGGCCTATGGGGCATGTCTTTATTTCAGGGTTACTAATAGCCAAGGACAGCACCATTGTGCTCTTATCTGTGCAAAATCTAAGGTGGCCCCTTTAAAAGCTACCACCTTACCTCGACTTGAATTGTGTGCAGCAAATCTATTAATAAAGTTGTACAAATCAACAGTCGAAGCATTTCAGTTTCAAATCAATAAAAAATTCCTTTGGTCTGATTCAACAATTGTGCTTAATTGGATAAATACTCCATCCTATAAGTTAAAAACATTTGTGGCTAATAGAATTTCTGAGATTCAATCTAATTCTCAAAATCACGATTGGAGACATGTACCCACGCAAGACAATCCTGCTGACATAATTTCTCGAGGCCAAGCTCCTCTTGAGTTTGTGAATAACAGGCAATGGATTCAAGGTCCTGCGTGGTTAAGCCAAGACGAAAATTGCTGGCCTGTGTTTAAGTTGGAAAAACGAGACATACCTGAAGTCAAAACTCCCTCACCAATCTCTCTGATCGCAAAGGTAGAGACTCATGGGCCCAGCAATATTGTTCGAAACCACAGTAAGTTGAGAACCTGCGTAAACGTTATGGCGTACTGTCTCCGATGGTTATCAATAGTCAAGCGCAAAAAGGATAGCAATAAAATCACAGGTAAAATATCCCTCGATGAATACGACGCAGCGCTCGAAAAACTAATTTCACTCGCGCAACAAGAATCATTTCCACGCGAATTTCAAGCTCTTTCAAAAAAGGAAAACATTCATCCAAAAAGTAGTCTTGTGAGTCTACATCCATTTTTTGAATCAAATTTGATAAAGGTAGGCGGAAGGCTTTCCCAATCTGATCTATCCTACAGTCAAAAACATCCTATAGTCCTCCCGAAAAATCATGCTTTAACAAAGCTTATTATTCGAGACGAGCACATTTCACGCATGCATGCAGGGACTAATGCTACTCTGTACGGGGTTAGAGAGAAATTCTGGCCTATTGACGGTCGCAACGCTACTAGGCACACAATCAAACAATGCGTTCAATGTTTTCGAGCGAAACCGCGAGAACTCAATTATATAATGGGAAATTTACCCCATAACAGATTGTCTTCCTCTCGTCCATTTTTAAATGTGGGGGTTGACTATTGCGGACCGTTCTTCATAAAAGAACGACGTCATCGAAATCTAACTAAAGTAAAAACATATGTATGCGTCTTTGTTTGCATGGCCACTAAGGCAGTTCATTTGGAATTGGCAAGTGATTTGACTACCGAGGCCTTTCTGAATTGTTTGAAGCGATTATTTGCTCGGAGAGGGTTGGCACATACCATCTCCTCTGACAATGCTACCAATTTCATTGGAGCTAAAAACGAATTAAAAGAATTATATAAAGAAATTCAGACTCTTGAAGAAGGTGAAGAGTTCAAAACTTTTTTAGTTCAGAAAAAGATTAGCTGGTATTTTATTCCACCCCGGACACCTCATTTTGGAGGTCTCTGGGAAGCTGCGGTGAAATCGTTCAAAAAGCATTTCACAAGCATCGCAGGCAACACTCTTTTAACTTATGAACAACTACATACATATGTAGTTGAAATTGAAGCTATACTCAATTCAAGACCTCTTACACCACTTTCTTCCGATCCAAATGATCTCCTTCCTCTGACTCCTGGTCACTTTTTGATTGGGGCACCCATGACAACTTTTCCACACAAAGATTTGCGAAATGTTTCGGCAAACCGTCTGAATTGCTGGGAACACGCTCAGCAGCTGCGTCATCATTTTTGGGATAGATGGAGCAAAGAATATCTCAATGAGCTAATCTCCCGCTCGAAATGGAAGGCAGCTTCAAACCAAGACGACATCAAAATAGGCACACTTGTCGTGCTTAAGGAGGACAACTTGCCGCCCTTGTCATGGAGACTTGGCCGAATATCCGCTATCTTCCCAGGGCAAGATGGCATTATTCGAACAGTGAATGTTCAAGGTTCAACTGGAGTATATAAGCGTTCGCTAAAAAGTGTCTATCCACTACCAATTTATAACAATTAGAGACAAAACAAATGTGTTTCAGTGGTGGTTAGTGACATTAAAAAACATTGTTATTTCTTTGAAAGCTACGCATTCAAAGGGGGGCAGAATGTTACGTAGTAACAATATTTAACAATTAAAAATATTTTTGTCATTCTTTTTAATACAAACATTTTAAAACGAATATTTCTCGAACAAATATTTTTAGTAAAATGTTAGTTTGTAAGCCTCTGAATCTTTCAAAATCTTCGGTATGTAGAGAAAATGATTTTATTGCGGTACTGGGTTATAACCCTAGGTACCTGAGTAGAACGGTCAAGATGGCAATAGGCAATTTGTACTATTTCTCAAAATCTATGTACAAAATTTATCCTTCCATCTTCAAATTCCAACGTTGCCACTTTCACTTTTTCAAAATCTAAATGCGACGTTGCCAAATTTAGCCTGTACTTCGAGTAAGGGCCCTGTACCTAAACAGGACCTGAGATCAGAACTCGGTCGACTTCCGAAAAGAATAGACGTAGAGATTTAATTTTGTCAGAAACTTACTCCATGTATTTTGTCTTTGAAATTAAATAAATGTGTTAATTAAGGGTAAAATCAATATCAAAATTATTCTCCTTCACTCTTAATAATAAAATGTCAGTTTTATTAAAAAACAATCAAGCCTTTTTCTATTGAGGCAGAACATTTTGTTTAATTAAAGAAAATCAAGGTTAACATTCAAAAATTTTTAAAAACAAAATTCACCATTGAAAAGAGCATGAAATAACCTTCAAAAAAACATACTGATAAAATAAACCCCCTCTATCTCCCTTAAAATTTCAAAAAAGTCAAAAAAAAATTTTGGGGCTATTTTACTATCAAGTAGGACAACAATTTCCCCAAGTTTCCCTTTTTTCGTGCACGCGTAATTTGTCCTTCTTCAGAGAATCAACCATAACTTAATATGATTACCCTATTAAAGTCGTTTCCTATGTAATTTTGTGCGCTGAACACGATCCCGTGTCCCAAAATGGCCCAGCACGTCAGGATTTTGAGAAAAGTGGGGGTAAAGAGCCCAAAAACCGTGTTTTTGGGTGTTTTCGAGAATTTTTTTCTCCTTAACCTGACGTGCTAGAAACTTCTACTAGATCTTAAATTAAAGCTTAAAGCGTGCACTTTAAGACCCATATGCGCAAGTCAAAAAAAACTTAAGGAATTTTGAGAAAAGTTGGGGTAAAGGGCACCAAAAAAATTTTTTTACCCTAAAAACGCGTTTTTTTATTTTTTTACCCCCACTTTTCTCAAAATCCTGTCGTTTTAGGCCATTTTGGAACCCGGGATCGTGTTCAGCGGACAAAATTACATTGGAAACGACTTCAATATCAAAAATAAAAAAAAAAGTCGAATTTTGCAGGCCTGTGTTATATACGTATAAATATACGTATGATACTACGTATTATTATACATATTATTATACGTATAATATGTATGTGAGAGATTCTTTTTCAATCGCCCCAGCCCAAAAAGTCAATGTTCTGGGATTGGCTTCATACTTTGGTAAATTGTTGTCCTATATGATAGTAATAAATCCCTAAAATATAAACTCATTAAAAAAATATTTGTAGAAAGTAGAGGGGGTTGAAGTTTTGACGTTAAGGGTAACATTGTCATTTTCAAATCCGTATAACTATGACAAAAGTTAATGAATTTTAATTTATCCATAATGAAGTTTAATGCATTTTTCACGTACTTTTCAAAAATGTATACGAAATTTAAAAAAAAAAATTTTAACCCCTTTTTTTCAAAATCAACCCTTATTTTTCGATTTTCAACCCTTCGGGTATTTTTTTTTTTTTATTTTCATTGGAAAGCTGAGATTTTTTCCCATGAGCTATGTAAATATGAAAATGGGACAACAATAATTTTGTGAGAAACAGAATATTAAAGTAGGCGGAGCCGATAAGGATGCTGTTAAGGGTAACATTGTCATTTTCAAATCCGTTTAACTATAACAAAAGTTAATGGATTTTAATTTATCTATAATGAATTTTAATGTATTTTTCACGTACTTTTCAAAAATTTCTACAAAATTTAAAAAAAATTTTTTTGACCCCATTTTTTTCAAAATCAACACTTATTTTTCGATTTTCACCCCTTCGGGAATTTTTTTTTCTTTTTTTTATTTTCATTGGAAAGCTGAGGTTTTTTCCCATGAGCTATGTAAATATGAAAATGGGACAATAGTAATTTTGTGAGAAACATAATATTAAATTAGGCGGTGCCTACCTAAATCCTCGAAGATGATCTCTAGGTATACCCCTTATCGGCACCGCCTACTTTAATATTCTGTTTCTCACAAAATTATTATTGTCCCATTTTCATATTTACATTGCTCATGGGAAAAAATCTCAGCTTTCCAATGAAAATAAAAAAAAAAAAATACCCGAAGGGTTGAAAATCGAAAAATAAGGGTTGATTTTGAAAAAAAGGGGTTAAAATTTTTTTTTTTAAATTTCGTATACATTTTTGAAAAGTACGTGAAAAATGCATTAAAATTCATTATGGATAAATTAAAATTCATTAACTTTTGTCATAGTTATACGGATTTGAAAATGACAATGTTACCCTTAACGTCAAAACTTCAACCCCCTCTACTTTCTACAAATATTTTTTTAATGAGCTTATATTTTAGGGATTTATTACTATCATATAGGACAACAATTTACCAAAGTATGAAGCCAATCCCAGAACTTTGACTTTTTGGGCTGGGGCGATTGAAAAAGAATCTCTCATGTATGTCTTATTATACGTATAATAATACGTATTATTATACGTATAATTATACGTGTTTTTTTCAATAGGATAATTTATTTTTATAAAATAAAATTCAATTACAAAACGCTCTCTTTGCATTGGTTGATTGATTTGATATAGAATGCCTTATATTTCTTTTTAATTGTATTGTTTTATTATTTTATTTTATTACAGGGCGATTCTGGTGGGCCGCTTGTCATAGACAACGTTCAAGTGGGTGTCGTATCTTTTGGAAAACCATGTGCTCGAGGAGTTCCAGACGTATATACTAATGTTTATAATTACATTGATTGGATAAAGGATTCTTTACTCCGATATGTAGACTAGTGGGGTGTGCTGGCGAGTATGACATTCAGAAGTCTGTAGCGATCGCAAAATCAATCAATTTTAATAAGCTACTTCTCATTTCAAATTTTGATACTATAACTTCACTTTTCTGTGCATTATTTTTGCGCATCTCGTATGTGGATTAACTTATAGCCGCCGAAACAAAAGTGTCAAAATTGTGATTTTCAAAAAAGGTGCTGCGAGGTGGCAAGTTTCTTTTTCAGTAATAAAATGATAAATATGCATAAAATATTTAATTTGTTTATTAAAAAAGCTTAAATTAGTAATAAGTAAATTATATGAATAGTTATAATTAAAATGAAATGAAAATAAAACCTATTTTACTTTTCTTGCGTAAACAGCTGCAACTGCTTCTTGAGTCGCTGGTTCGGCTTTACTCTTTTTCATATATTTTGGCAGCATGAAATCAAAATTCTTACCGCTAAAATACGCAAATACGCTTTGCATGACAAAGAGAAAACTGAAAAAAATTTGTTTTGAAAATTTGGGACCATTTTGAAAAAAATCACTTTTTTAAATAAACAATAATGTTCAAAAACAATTGTTCAAAAAATTTTTTTTCAAAAAGGAGCTCGTCATGCAATAGCCAGTAAGATAAAGAAGATTTATAGTAAATTTGATAAAAATCAGATAAAAATTGGCTGAGCTACATTGCACGGCGCGCGAAAAAACACGTTTCGAGAAAAAAGCGTTTAAAGTTTTTGATACATAAAAGTAGTGTTTTAACTATTGCCTTGAAGACCTTATGTATTTGAAAATAACTATTGCACTAAAATCAAGATTCAGTATCACTTTACTTATGGTGCTTGCTACCCTAGTGAAAAAAACACGTATAATTATACGTATAATAATACTAGAGAGGAATTTGGTAGTTATAAGTATACTAACGTATTTTGGCGCGCTGATTACGAAAATAATAGTGAAAATTGGCGCAAATTTGATTATCATGGCGAAACTGTGGCGAGAGGGGGTGGATATGGCCTAAAGTATTTAGCAAGAATTGTGGGGTGGAGTCTACAGCAGCGGTAAACGCAAAATAGTAAACACGGCCTTCGGCCGCGTAAGGTACTGCTCGCTTTTCTTTTTAAAACAACCTTAGCGAGAGGGGGTGGATATGGCCGAAAGTATTTTGCGGAATTCGTTGGATCCTGAGTAATTGTGAATATGATACTATGTACGAGTCAAATAATATGTCTAACCATGACTATTGTATATGTTTTCATTATCATGGTGTTTTTGATTTTTTGGATTTTTCTCGAAAAATAATGACTTTTAGTAAAAAATGCATAAGACATAAAATGTGTGTTTTTTTGAGATCTACAACTTTTGTCTAAACCTTTTTCGAAATTTTTTGTTTTTTATGAGATAATCGCAAAAACCATGATTTTATGTTGTTTTTTATGTTTTTTACCATGATAATCAAATTTGCGCCAATTTTCACTATCAGTTTCGTAATCAGCGCACCAAAATACGTTAGTATACCAAGTTCTATTAAAATCGGAGATACTACTACTTCGGAAGTATATCCATTTAGCCAAGAATTTCAACTACCGTTGGATAGTTGAGTGGAAATTTTTTACAGTACTTCAATTTTTGGTCAATTCAATTCTGTTTGTCAAGTTGATTTTTGTTGCTGCGCAAGAGCATTATAAACATTTTAATTATTTATTTTTAAAAGAAGATAAAATGACAAAAGCATATGCCTTCAAGGGTTTAGGTAATTTTTACCTTTTAAGAAAATGTTGGAATTATAGTTATAAAACGTAGGGATTAAAACGACTTAGTATCCTAATTGTATAGGACTTCAAAATTCAAAACACCATCAGACCGTCATTAGGACGGTCCCAAAGGTTGTAAAACTAAAGCAATTGTTCCTGGGTCGCAACTACCATCCTTGCAATGTGGCCCTACCTAACCTAAAACTTGAATTTTGCACCCCCACCACTAAATGTAAGGCCCAAATAGGCCAGTCCTTTGCGAAATCTCAAGGCATAAAGACATGTTTAATAACTGCTTAGAATTATCTTATGTAAACCAAGACTTTTATTTCTCACCCTAAGAAAAAGTGATTCCCTATTTTCCCAATAATTATTAGGGAAGGAAAATTCAAACGATTAATGAATTTTGCCTGCAACGTATAAACATTTTGGTCCTTCGAGCCGGATATTATTTGTCCAAATCCAACATAGTGCAATTGAGACTTGTATTTTCGCGATTCCAAAAATCAAAATTGATAGTGACTACAAGCAAGTAGTAATAACACAAGTGTTCGGAATCGTGAGTTAAGAGTTCAATTCATAACGTGAAACAAAGTGTCAACAAAGCAAAGGACTCATAAACTTCAAATCAAAGCATGAATCATCAGAGAGAAGTGAACGAATTTCAGCCAGAGATTATACTAGATCTACTATTTTGATATCTCTACTGATTTAACTGCTGTGTAATTCAACTTAGGAATCCAACTCCAACATCGCATCGCCTCACATCCTTAATGGTCATCTTTGGTCAAGGTGCAGTAAATCATGATAACGTAAATCTGATTGCTTGTTAATCACCAATCAATTCAAATTAACGTCTTCATTTTTTGCTTCTATCCACTTGATATCCGATACGTAAGATGACGGTCGATACTGAAGCCGGGATAAAAAGTAAAATTAGAAAAAGAGCTCCTTTAAAAGCCAAATTAACAAAATTAAAAAATTATCTCGATAACAACATCGAAGAAATAGATATAGATTACTTAAAATTAAAATTAGCAGATATAGAAAGAGCCGCAAAAGATTTTGAAATTATTCAGTCAGAATTAGAAGCACTCGTGTCAGATGAAACATTTGATAAGGAACTTAAAGAAAGAAGCGATTTTGAGGAAATGGTCACCCAATGTATATCAAAGGCAAATAAAATCATTCGTACAAATGAAACTATTTCGAGTGGCGTTGATATACACTCCATTAACAGTCAAACTTCAAATTTATCATCTCAACCCCCCACGGAACAAAATGCAAACATTAATATGCGTATACATATACAACTGCCTGCTATGCATTTACCACAATTTAGCGGTTCTTATGAAAGTTGGCCAGGTTTTTCAGATTCATTTAAATCAGCCGTTTAGAAAAATATTATGATGATCCGATATCCGTCATAAACAATCGTGTTAACCCTTTAAGTCACACATTTTTCTTTTTACTAAATTGGCTTGAAAATTGTTACTCGGGGGTTTTCGGGGCCGCTGATTACGAATCTGACATTAGTTTTTAAAAATTCAAAATGGCGGATCCAATATGGCGGACTTGGAGTTAAAAATTAACTGAATTCGCTTGAAAATTGTTACTCGGGGGCTTTCGGGGTCGCTGAATACGAGTCTGATGTCAGTTTTCAAAAATTCAAAATGGCGGATCCAATATGGCGGACATAAAAATTAAAAATTAACTGAATTCCCTTGAAAATCGATACTCGGGGGTTTTCGGGGTCGTTGATTACGAATCTGAAGTCAGTTTTTAAAAATTCAAAATGGCGGATCCAATATGGCGGACTTGGAGTGGAAAATTAACTGAATTCGCTTGAAAATTGTTACTCGGGGGTTTTCGGGGTCGCTGAATACGAATCTGATGTCAGTTTTCAAAAATTCAAAATGGCGGATCCAATATGGCGGACATGAAAACTAAAAATTGACTGAATTTTTTTGAAAATCGATACTCGGGGGTTTTTGGGGTCGCTGAATACGAATCTGATGTCAGTTTTGAAAAATTCAATATGGCGGACATAAAAATTAAAAATTGGCTGAATTTCTTTGAAAATTGACACTCGGGGGTTTTCAGGGTTGCTGAATACGAATCTGATGTCAGTTTTTCAAAATTTAAAATGGCGGTTCCAATATGGCGGACTTGAAGTTGAAAATTGATTAGATTCGCTTGAAAATTGTTACTCGGGGGTTTTCGGGGACGCTGAATACGAATCTCATGTCACTTTTCGAAAATAATAATTTCATTTTTTTTATCTATCCTGCTCTCAGCGTTACCCAGAACCAACGACGTGGACGTGGCAAGATTTTGGTTCCACCTTGTTTTTTTTATTTATTTATTTTTTTTATTTTTATAAATAAAACAAATGACGATCGTCGCAAAAAAAAGTCAGTAAAACAAATGACGATCGTCAACAATCTTTATGATAGTAAAAAAAGGTATACATTGGATTCAGTTACAAAAACATAAATGCTAACAATTTTGTAAATAACAATACTGCTGAGTGTAAAAAACGTTTATTTTTACAGGTTACTAATCCAAGTGTTGTCAGGTACATTATTTAAAGATAAGCATCTATTATTTCTATTTAAACATTTAAAATTCTGAAATTCTATTTTTATTTTTTTATTCAGCGACCCTGAAAACCCCCGAGTAACGATTTTCAAGCGAATTCAGTCAATTTTCAACTTTATGTCCGCCATATTGGATCCGCTATTTTGAATTTTTAAAAACTGACATCAGATTCGTAATCAGCGACCCCGAAAACCCCCGAGTATCAATTTTCAAGAGAATTCAGTTAATTTTTAACTTTTATGTCCGCCATATTGGATCGGCCATTTTGAATTTTTAAAAACTAAAGTCAGATTCGTAATCAGCGACCCCGAAAACCCCCGAGTAACGATTTTCAAGCGAATTCATATGAAATATAATTGTAATATAGTGAAAAACCAAAGGTGGGTCACTGAGCGACCCACTGTGACGCAAAGGGTTAAAGCATTTTTTCAAATCAAGTAATTTACTACAGGAACAGCAGATTCTATAGGAACAATTTTAGATGAGACAAGTAAGAATTATCGTGCTTTGTTAGCTTTGAATAAGCCCTTTTTAAAAGCTTTCCCTATTTACGCGATAGTGTCGAAGCTTGACGACCAAACGCGCCTTAAATGGAAAGAACAAACTCAAGGTAGCGAACTTCCGAAAATGGAAGAATTGATAGAGTTTTTATACTCTCGTAGAAAAATTCTTGAAATTATGCGACCGGAAAAATTAGAAATTTCTCAACCAACTAATAAAGCGCAGTCGCGATCTAATACACGTCAATCGACAGAAAATAACAAATCGACCTTTACTTATTCGACACAAACTAGAAAACCTTACTGTCATTTGTGTAAAAATGAACATTATACGCAAAATTGTCAAAAACTTTTAGATACTTCTGTAAGTGAGAGAGCTAAAGTAATTAAAAAGGCTAATCTATGTTTCAATTGTTTAAGAGCAAACCATCAAATTAAAGATTGTACTGCACACAATTGTAAAAAATGTAACGGCAAACATCATACGCTTTTACATAGGGAAAAACCAGTAAATGAACAATTGAATCAAGATAAACAGCCGTTAACAACTCAAGCAAATGTAGTTAATTTACACGCGAGCATTGACACTGAGGTACTATTAGCAACCGCCGTTGTCAATATCTTGGATCAGAGAGGCAATACACATCCTTGTAGAGTATTAATCGATTCGTGCTCTCAATCACATTTTATGACCAAAAGAATGGCGCACAGGTTAGGCTTAAAACTTGACAAAATTGAAATCGAAATTAACGGTGTGAATAAAACTCAATCATGTATAAATAACTCTACGAATGCTGTAGTCAATTCTCGCATCAGCGATTTCACGTTAAATTGTAAATTCTTATTAGTGGACGAAGTCGCTTGTAATCCTCGAACTCGATACATAAACAAAAATGAATTACAAATCCCCTCAAATATTCGTCTCGCGGATCCAGATTTTCATAAACCTGTGCATATTGATGCACTTATCGGTGCGGAATTCTTCTTTCAGCTCCTATGTGTAGGATAATTAGAAATCGGACCTCATGCAACAATTTTGCAAAAAACTCGTTTCGGTTGGGTACTTTCAGGTAAAGTTTCAACCAAAAATAATTCTCAAAAAACTCAGTAATTTAGCTATGGACTCTTTAAATAATCAAATTAATCGTTTCTGGGAGATTGAGGAAACTCCTGAGCAAAAAACATTTTCGAATGAAGAAATTGCGTGCGAAAAACATTATCTTAAAAATACAAATCGTGACTTGTTAACCGGGCAATATATATGTAGATTACCCTTTAAAGAAAATACCGTCGAACTAAGCGAATCATATACAATGGCATTGAAACGATTTCACGTTCTTGAGAGATCATTTGAAAAAAAGCCAGCTAAAACATCAAATGATATATCATTAAACAATATTCTAATGGTAGGCCCCACTATACAAGAAGATCTTATTGCAATACTTATTCGGTTTCGATCACACATATGAGAGATTCTTTTTCAATCGCCCCAGCCCAAAAAGTCAATGTTCTGGGATTGGCTTCATACTTTGGTAAATTGTTGTCCTATATGATAGTAATAAATCCCTAAAATATAAACTCATTAAAAAAATATTTGTAGAAAGTAGAGGGGGTTGAAGTTTTGACGTTAAGGGTAACATTGTCATTTTCAAATCCGTATAACTATGACAAAAGTTAATGAATTTTAATTTATCCATAATGAATTTTAATGCATTTTTCACGTACTTTTCAAAAATGTATACGAAATTTAAAAAAAAAAATTTTAACCCCTTTTTTTCAAAATCAACCCTTATTTTTCGATTTTCAACCCTTCGGGTATTTTTTTTTTTTATTTTCATTGGAAAGCTGAGATTTTTTCCCATGAGCTATGTAAATATGAAAATGGGACAACAATAATTTTGTGAGAAACAGAATATTAAAGTAGGCGGAGCCGATAAGGATGCTGTTAAGGGTAACATTGTCATTTTCAAATCCGTTTAACTATAACAAAAGTTAATGGATTTTAATTTATCTATAATGAATTTTAATGTATTTTTCACGTACTTTTCAAAAATTTATACAAAATTTAAAAAAAATTTTTTTGACCCCTTTTTTTTCAAAATCAACACTTATTTTTCGATTTTCACCCCTTCGGGAATTTTTTTTTCTTTTTTTTATTTTCATTGGAAAGCTGAGGTTTTTTCCCATGAGCTATGTAAATATGAAAATGGGACAATAGTAATTTTGTGAGAAACATAATATTAAATTAGGCGGTGCCTACCTAAATCCTCGAAGATGATCTCTAGGTATACCCCTTATCGGCACCGCCTACTTTAATATTCTGTTTCTCACAAAATTATTATTGTCCCATTTTCATATTTACATTGCTCATGGGAAAAAATCTCAGCTTTCCAATGAAAATAAAAAAAAAAAAATACCCGAAGGGTTGAAAATCGAAAAACAAGGGTTGATTTTGAAAAAAAGGGGTTAAAATTTTTTTTTTTAAATTTCGTATACATTTTTGAAAAGTACGTGAAAAATGCATTAAAATTCATTATAGATAAATTAAAATCCATTAATTTTTGTCATAGTTATACAGATTTGAAAATGACAATGTTACCCTTAACGGCACCCTTATAATAATAATAATAATAATAATTTTGTGAGTAACAGAATATTAAAGTAGGCGGTGCCGATAAGGGGTGTACCTGGAGATCATCTTTGAGGATTTAGATAGGCACCGCCTAATTTAATATTATGTTTCTCACAAAATTATTGTTGTCCCATTTTCATATTTACATAGCTCATCGGAAAAAACCTCAGCTTTCCAATGAAAATAAAAAAAAAACAAAAAAAAATTCCCGAAGGGGTGAAAATCGAAAAATAAGGGTTGATTTTGAAAAAAAGGGGTTAAAAATTATTTTTTTTAAATTTTGTATACATTTTTGAAAAGTACGTGAAAAATGCAATAAAATTCATTATAGATAAATTAAAATCCATTAATTTTTGTCATAGTTATACAGATTTGAAAATGACAATGTTACCCTTAACGGCACCCTTATCGGCACCGCCTACTTTAATATTCTGTTACTCACAAAATTATTGTTGTCCCATTTTCATATTTACATAGCTCATCGGAAAAAACCTCAGCTTTCCAATGAAAATAAAAAAAAAAAAAAAAAAATACCCGAAGGGGTGAAAATCGAAAAATAAGGGTTGATTTTGAAAAAAAAGGGGTTAAAAATTATTTTTTTTAAATTTCGTATAGATTTTTGAAAAGTACGTGAAAAATGCAATAAAATTCATTCTAGATAAATTAAAATCCATTAACTTTTGTCATAGTTATACGGATTTGAAAATGACAATGTTACCCTTAACGTCAAAACTTCAACCCCCTCTACTTTCTACAAATATTTTTTTATTGAGTTTATATTTTAGGGATTTATTACTATCATATAGGACAACAATTTACCAAAGTATGAAGCCAATCCCAGAACATTGACTTTTTGGGCTGGGGCGATTGAAAAAGAATCTCTCATATATGCATTTATAGCGGACATAGCAAAAATGTATCGACAAATAGCATTACATCCCGACGATAGAAAATTTCACAAAATTTTATGGCGTGACGATACGAAAAATCAAATCAAAACGTATAACCTGAATACAGTAACGTACGGAGTATCTTCTTCCTCGTTTCTGGTAATTCGCACATTAAAACAATTGGCCAGAGACGGAGGCAGAATCTTATCCGCGGGCGAGTTTCATATTAAAAGAAGATTTCTATGTCGATGATATGTTGACCGGAGAGAGTACAAAAGAAAAGGCACAATCTTTGATTCCTGAATTAATCGATATCACTAAATCGGCAGGCTTAGAACTTAGGCAGTGGGCTTCAAACGATCCCAGTCTCATTTCGTCATTATCTAAGTCGACTAACAGTGCTCAATTTGTAATAAATGAGGACAACACCGCGAAAACGCTCGGTATTCAATGGAATTCAACTAACGATACATTTACATATCGACGCCTCCCGTTCATATAATGCTTATTGAAACTGCAATGCAATATAAGTCTTATTCAAATTTTCGTGCCATATAAGTCTTATTGAAAGTTCAGTGCTATATAATTCTTATTCAAGTTTCCGTACAATACAATAATTATATTGAATAAGAATTATATAGCACTGAAATTTCCATAAGACTTATATGGCACGAAAATTTGAATAAGACTTATATTGCATTGCAGTTTCAATAAGTATTATATGAACGGGAGGCGTCGATATAATATTCAAAAGATTAATAAATCGGATAAAATCACAAAGAGAAATGTACTCTCAGAAATCGCAAAATTATTTGATCCGCTAGGTTTATTAGGGCCCGTAATTGTGCGGGCAAAAATAATCATGCAGCAATTGTGGCAATTGCAATTAGAATGTGATCAATCTTTACCCATAACATTACACACAATTTGGCAAACGTATCGTAACGAACTACATTTATTAAACGACATAAAATTTGATCGAAAAATTGTTATCCAAGATTATGAATGCTTACAATTGCATTGTTTCTGTGATGCAAGTGAGAAAGCATACAGTGCGTGTATATATTTGCGTTCCGTTGATAAACTCGGCAATTGTTTCTCTCAGCTTATTTGTTCTAAATCACGGGTGGCTCCCTTGAAAGCAACATCTCTTCCTCGATTAGAGCTTTGTGGAGCATTATTATTATCAAAATTATTTGAAGTAACCATACATGCATTGCGACGTTTAAAATTTAACAAAGTAATATTTTGGTCAGATTCAACAATCGTATTGCATTGGATAAATACACCGTCACATATGTTAAAAACTTTTGTCGCAAATCGTGTATCTGAAATACAAAAAATTACGTCTACTTTCGCTTGGCGCCATATTCGAATCGAACAAAATCCTGCCGATTTTGTATCTCGCGGTCTGTCGCCAACCGAAATGATTGAAAACAAACTATGGCAAAATGGGCCAAATTGGTTATGCGAAAGTGAAACCAACTGGCCTATCACAGAATTAGAAATAATCGAAATACCAGAACGTCGTGCACCTACTGTTGCGCTCATCGCTACAGCAAATGTAACGTATTCTATCTTGCGAAAATTCGAATCATTTTCTAAATTAAAACGCGTGTTAGCATATTGTATGCGTTTTATAAGAATCAAAGTAAACAAAGAGGTTGTTAAAGGTCCTCTCACAACTGCCGAATTAAATTTGTCCAGTAATCGTATAATGAAACTCGTACAAATTGTATCATTTCCGAGCGAATTGAAAGTATTAAACTCAAGAGGATCGGTAGAAGGGAAGCTTGCTGCTTTGAATCCATTTTTAGATTCAAAAGAAATTATCAGAGTAGGCGGTCGACTTTAAAATTCTGAGTTACCGTATTATCAAAAGCATCCAAATTTGTTGCGTAAACATAATAAAATCACATCTTTGATAATAATTCGCGAGAATCACGTAAAAAATCTGCATAGCGGTACGCAAGCTACACTCCACTCAATTCGAAAATCTTATTGGATAGTTAATGGCCGTAGTGTAGTAAAAACCGTCATTCGAAAATGTGTTCCGTGTCGTAAAGCAAAACCAGAAATACCTAATTATATAATGGGAAACCTTCCTAAAAATCGTGTCGTGTATGACAGACCGTTTTTGAACTCCGGGATTGATTATTGCGGCCCTTTCTATATCAAGGAAAAGAAGCACAGAAATCGTAACAAGGAAAAGGTGTATGTTGCAGTTTTTGTGTGCTTCTCTACCAAAGCTGTACATTTTGAGATTGTCAGTGATTTGACCACTGACGCTTTTTTAGCTGCACTAAAACGATTTTTCGCTAGAAGAGGTAAAAGTTCAAATTTATATTCTGATAACGCTACAAATTTTCAAGGGGCGAAACGTGAAATTAAAGATTTATACGCTTTATTAAGTTCTCAATCGCATAATGACAAAGTAACAAATTCTTTAGTTAATAAAAATGTAAATCGGCATTTTATACCACCAAGGTCACCTCATTTTGTCGGTCTATGGGAATCCGCGGTAAAATCTTTGAAATATCACCTGACTCGAGTAATAGGCAATAATTTATTAACATTTGAAGTATTGCTCACTTACGTAACGGAAATAGAAGCTATCCTTAACTCCCGACCTTTGACTCCTCTTTCACCTGATCCAAATGATTTAAATACTTTAACTCCTAGCCATTTCCTGATTGGTGATGTTTTAACAAGTATACCAGAACACGATATCAGACAACTGCCATCGGGACGATTATCATCGTGGCAACATGTGGAGCAAATGCGACAACACTTTTGGAATCGTTGGTACAAGGAGTACTTGCACGAGCAAACCGTGCGCAAAAAATGGCACACGGGTTCTACGAAGGATCTAAAGATTGGTACACTTGTTACAGTTAAAGAGGACAATATACCACCAATGCATTGGGCCCTCGGTCGAATCGTAGCCATTCATCCTGATAACGAAGGTGTTATACGCGTGGTAACTGTTAAAACTGCGCGTGGTGAATACAAGAGAAGTGTCAAGAAAATATCACCTTTACCAATTGACATTGAATAAGTGTAGTGATTTGAAATATGAAAAAAAGGGATTCATTGATGGGACTGTACAATTAATTTAGTGTATCAGTCAAATGTTTTCTTTCTGTCTTAAATACTACAATCATGTAAACTTTGATTTAAGAATGAATACTCAAATCCATAATATAAGTAATAAGTATATATTCTTTGTATTGAACTGTATAGTTCAATGGGGCCAGTATGTTGCTGCGCAAGAGCATTATAAACATTTTTATTATTTATTTTTAAAAGAAATGTAAGGCCCAAATATGCCAGTCCTTTGCGAAATCTCAAGGCATAAAGACATGTTTAATAAATGCTTAGAATTATCTTATGTAAACCAAGACTTTTATTTCTCACCCTAAGAAAAAGAGATTCTCTATTTTCCCAATAATTATTGGGGAAGGCAAATTCAAACGATTAATGAATTTTGCCTGCAACGTATAAACAATTTTATTAACTTTCATGTAGTTGAAAATTCAGATTACTTAATTATACACGGAGAAAAGAAAGGAAAACCGCTTGATTTGGCAGTTGTGAGCTGTTCTCACTCGTCAGGGAGCAGCAGTTTCGCCGCAAAAGGAGAACCGTTTATCTTTTGAGGAGTAACCGTTCACCTTTTGTCGTTTCACCTTCTGGAAAGCTAACCCGCTTTCCTCAAAAAGCGTACTCGTTCACCCTTCGAGAAGCGAACAGCTCACTTTCCCAGCGGTCAAACAGCTGACTCTCATTTAAAAGAACTGCTTTACCGAGAGGTTAAGCGGTTCTCCTTTTTTCTCTTTGTGTAGGGTTGCCAACTCCCACACAGCACAATTTAGTACAATTTTATAGCAGACTTTCCTGTAAGTTTTGTAATATTACAATGTAAACTTACAGTAAGATTAAGGTAAACTTAAAATGTCCGCCATACATTGAACTTACAGGGGAAGGCTACTGCAAGATTACATGTTAAGATTACTGTAAACGTACTTTGTCATTGTAAACTATTAGAAGGTAAGCTTACATGGTAAGGATAAAATATTAATAAATTAGTTTAAACAATATTTATGCACAGTAGCTTCCTATAGCACTTAAGGCTGCGCAGTAAATTATATTAACCACTTGAGCGTCATGGCGTTCCAACTGGCGTCGTGCGTGGCGGTGACAGAAGCGTTAAAAATGCATAAATGGCGTTCCTACTTGAATTCAATTTGTAAAGTCTGTAGACATAATTAACTAACTATAACTCACCTTTCATATTTTTTGAGATTAAGCAAGACGTATGTGACACGAAAAAATGATTTTTTTAAATATTGAAACGGTTTTTTCGATTTATTGTAAAAAAATATATGATATATTGTATAATTTATTATCTGTATGTTTATAATATCGTAAGTCTGCTGTAAAGTTACAGAAAGTTATTGTGCTGTGTGGGCTGTGTAATTTTAACTTTCAGGACAAGGTTATTGAAATTACAGTTACAAGGTTGCCACGAACTTAAACTAAGAAGTGTAGGTTCGAGAAAATCATTTTCGATCATTAGAATAAAATAATTAATAATTTATTCATAAAACAAACGTTTAAGATCATTCATGGAAGAAATTACAATAATTCAAAAATACGCGACATTTGACGATTTTAGAATTACCCTAAACAGACATTTAAAAGATATTCTACATTAAAATTACCGCGTCACAAATTAAAGTAAATCTAACCAAATAATACAATAAAATCAAAGCAAAAGATAAATAAATAAAAAACAAGGTGTTAATTTCATGATTAATTAGCTTCCTCATCATGATACACTTATTTTCAAGATTAAAAGAAAGATTACAACTAAAATAGCGATAAATTTTATAAATATTGGTAAAATGCAAACTGTATATGGGCGACTCCACGTGAGATTTACCTATGACCTTTTAAATTCGGTGTTGAAATATTGTATTTACGCGCCGTATGTTTCTCGATTGACTCTAGTAGTAGTACGTCACGACTGTATGCGTGCGCACTTCTTCTTCGCTCGCTCGTCTCTCCCCTCTTTACCACTTTTGTTTTTGACCGCGTCCACGTTACATCGTCAGAATAAACGAATATTCTTTTCTACAATAAAGTCTTTTTACTGACTGAAACCTGCCCTCAAAACTATCAAGTCAACAGGTTATGGGCCGCAGGAACGCTTTCCACTGCGCGAAATAAAATCAGTGTTAAAGAAAATCGGGTTTTTCAAGTGATAGTTTTGCGGCGTGGTCTCCTCGTGTCCCGGGTTTGCGTGGAAGCCATTTTCGGCTTTGAACAGTTTTGCGACTAATGAAAGATTTGACGATTGTGTAAAGTTTCAATGAACTGCAGTGTTTTCAACGGTGTCGTCCACAATGAAAAGTATTGTAAATCGATGCCGATTTATTCTGGGTATGAAGGACGAAGAAGTTTTGGTCCACGTGAATATGGACGGTTCGAGTTTTACCGTGACCTTCAATGAAGGAGAAACGATCAGTCTGAGTAAGTGAGATTGTTACACAGCCCCACAAAAAAAATGTCGTGCGCGGCAGACCAGACTAGTCATTTCTCATGTATTTTGACGCGATGAACACGAATCCGAAGTCCGTTTTGCTCCATCACGTCAGGATTTTTTTCTAACCTCCAAAAGCCTGTCGGATTTTGAGAGGTAGGCTATTTTTTTAAAAAATTGATGGATTTACTTCAAACTTGGTATCTAGGGGTTTTTTGGGTCGCTGATGACGAATTTGAAGTTAGATTTTCAAAATTCAAAATGGCGGATGAATTTTGTAAAAATTGATGGATTTACTTCAAACTTGGTATCTAGGGGTTTTTTGGGTCGCTGATTACGAATCTAAAGTTAGATTTTCAAAATTGAAAATGGCGGCTCCAATATGGCGGACGATATCGACCCTTCAAAGGTGATAATTCCGCCTTTACACACGAAACTAGGAGCAATTAAACAGTTTGTCAAAGCCTTAGATAAAAAAGGAAACTGTTTCAAATACCTGGAACAAAAGTTTCCAGAAATCTCTGATGCGAAACTAAAAGAAGGGGTTTTCGACGGACCACGTATTTGCAAATTGTTAAAAGATGAGCAATTTATCACCAAGATGAATAAAAAGGAGAAAGCCGCATGGCTTAGTTTTAAAGCAGTTGTCGAAAATTTTCTGGGTAATCACAAGAGTGAAAATTGGGAGCAAATAGTTAGTGATATGACTAAAAACTTTGGTAAGTTAGGATGCTTAATGAGCATAAAGTTGCATTACTTAGACTCGCATCGGGATCAATTCCCTGAAAATTTGGGAGATTATAGTGAAGAACAAGGAGAACGATTCCATCAAGATCTGAAAGAATTTGAGCGTCGTTATCAAGGAAGATGGGATGTAAATATGATGGCCGACTACTGTTGGATGCTGAAAAGGGATATTGTACCTGGAGGCACCAATTTGAAAAGAAAACCATTACACAGATCCTTTGAAGACAAAAGAGTGCGCTACCATAAAAAGACATGAATACCTTACTTATGTATATAAGAATTTCCATTTCTAGTTTTGAAAATCTAACTTTAGATTCGTAATCAGCGACCCAAAAAACCCCTAGATACCAAGTTTGAAGTAAATCCATCAATTTTTTAAAAAAATAGCCTACCTCTCAAAATCCGACAGGTTTTTGGAGGTTAGAAAAAAATCCTGACGTGATGGAGCAAAACGGACTTCGGATTCGTGTTCAGCGCGTCAAAATACATGGGAAATGACTAGTCTGGTCTGCCGCGCACGACACTTTTTTTTTGTGGGGCTTCGTTATTCAAGCGCACATAAAAACGACAGTTAAATATTTTTCTTAACACGACTGTTTCTGGATTTTTCAATTTAAATAAAAACGAATTTTTGATTCTCTTTCTCTCTCTTTCTTTACACGTGTTTTGCGTGTCTGTGCCTGCATGAGCATGCGCCTGCGCACGTCTATGTCTTTGAAGGAGAAAATGTTTAACGAGTATACAGTTTTACGAATTTAGTCTTTCCCGAGGAGAAACTTAAATAGGGAAATCGTAAGGGCCTTGTAATATTTCCCTATTACTTGTATGATTCTGATGTGGAAAAATGCAGATTTCTGATTAGGCCCAGAGGTTTCTTGTGACGCTTGATTTTTTATAAAAATGATTCATAGTACCCAATAGTGAGAACCCTACAAGAACCCTACGACCGTCTTTCGATTACTTTCAACTTACTATCATTTTTATTGAATGATAATTTAAGGTTATTTTATTTATTATAAATAGTAGAAAATTTGGACCAGTATTATTTTAACACGAAACTTACAATTAAGATTTTTATATTGTGCTACCAGGAATATTGTTATTTTGTGCATGTGCTGAAATAAAATAGTTAGTCTAATAATTAATAAATTACTTTAGTGAGGTTCACAACGTTTCTGATCAACGATTTAGAAGAACAAATATTTTTCTATTTAAATGTTTACATATTTTTGCATAAAAACTATTTTACTTAATTTTTCGATCAATAATTTGTAAAAGAGAAAATTATAAACAAAATATTTTATTGTTTTTGTCAAGAAAATATTTAAAATCTCACCTTAATGTTTTTTTTGATATATACTCATTTTTATTTATAAAATTATGACTGTCATATATATTTATTAAGGAACAAAAATAACATTATAAGGGTAGGCCTTAAAAAAAGAGCAGCAAATAGAATAATATGATTAATTAAAATCAATTTTTGTCGTGAAAACATTTTCTGTTTGTTTTTGTGATTTCACATATAAATATATTCTGCGCAGATTTTGCCAACTCAAAAATAGTAAAAGGTTTTGTTATCATGTGCCAGAGTATATTAATAATTTTTTTTTAAAAATTGTATTTTTGGGATTAAAATATTTTAAATAGTTAATATATGGTAACATATTAACGTTTAATAAAATAATTTTTGTATTACAAAAACATCATACAAAATAATTTCTCAAAGTTCAAGGAGATTTTACCAGTAAATAAGACATTTTTATTTTTTAATATCTTCGAATTGATTGCTACATATTTAAAATTATTTTCACATTCTTAATAATTTAAATTCATTATATTTTCTAATGAATTATATAAACTACAAATTTTCTTTTTACAGTTTAATTATATTTTTATAAAAAATAATATAGTAATATAACCTGACATTATAATTAATCAAAAATTGAAAGTTAAATAAAAGTTAAATTGAAAGTTCTCAAAGGGCAATCGTAGGGTTCTTGTTATTCTTCTCGCTATTAACCATTAAAACTAATTTTTGAGAAAAACAAGCGTCACGAAAAACGTCAGGACCTAACCAAAATTCTGCATTTTTCCCTATCAGAAACTTATCAAATTTCAGTTTTCGATAAGGAAACTTAGGGAAACTTCTCCACGGGTTCTTTTCAAAAATAAGTAAATTGATTTTTTTTCTTTACTAATGATTTATTTATTGAAATATTTTTCATAAATACTTCTATTAAGGAATAGACGTCGTAAAGTAGGGTAACGGCACCAGTGAAAGAACATTTAAGGAAATGCATACTTTTATCATTTATTATTTTTGAATGCAGTTATTGAAAATTTTTTTACCAATTTTTTTTCGATAGCTAATTAAGTGTAGAATGCGAAGGTCATATTTAATTTTCAGAAATATAAGATGTTAATTAAAATTTTAATTAATAAGTAAAACATACCTATTTCACCAGTGAAAGAACAAATTGTCTAATGAAAGAATTTTCTGCATCCAGTAAAAGAACGATGTGAAATATATATTTAAAATATATTTAAAAAATATATTAAAACAAAGATAAAGTAATATAATGTTTGTAATATACTAAAATAAAGGTAAATTAATGATAATTATAAATATTTTTTAACTAAGTTTGCAGAATCTTATTTTTAATTGAAAATGCATTTATAACCTACAATCAATCATCTACTTGCAATTTATTTTGACAATATTATTGTAACATAACAGTGTTAACCTATTTGATTTTGTCATTTTTTTGTTTGACTTCAGACTATTCGTTGAAGGTGTTCCTTCATTGGATTGCATTGGAACCAGTGAAAAAACATTTCTGTTCTTTCACTAGTAATTAAAAAAAAAAAACCCCCCAATGACGGAATTTGCTTTTCTTATGGCAAATTAATATTTTATTAGCTTTTAAATGAAAAGAAGTATTTCTAATACACAAGATAAATTTAGTATAAAGAAGACCGACGATTTAAGGCAGTTTAAATTAGTTAAATGTGAAAAAAGAAATAACGTGTCAGAGAAGAGTTCTTATTGTTGAAGATAAATTTGCAACACAACATTTTTAAAAATTTTTTTTTATAAAATTTACGTGTTAACTCTCTAGGTATCTTAGATACTAAAGACATAAATTAAATAAGGAACATAAAAATATATAATTTATAATACCAAATTGCTTATTACACTAATTAGAATGCAAAACATGAAATTTGTTCTTTCACTGGTGTCAGTTCCTTCACTGGTGCCGTTACCCTAATTGCTAAATAAACGAAGAACCAGTTAATATTAACGAAAGTTTTTGAATTTTAACGAAATGTTTGCTTTAATAAATTTAATGACACATGAATCCGTGTCTCTGGGTCATTTCTTTTGGAAAGAATTGTGTTCGTTCTCGAAAATTTGAAATGACTAGGTTTGTTTTTCGTAACAACGAAAGTAACGGGGTTGGAAAAACGAATCAGTTCTGATTCATTTAAACATGTGTTCTGTTTTAATGTCTCAAGAGCAGACTAATGATAGCACAAATTTTGATATTTGACTGTTTTTACTTTACTAACGATTGATTAACGAGTGTTTATTTTACTTATTTATTGAATAATTTTTAAAAGCAAACAATCTCTCAAAAATGAATGGGACATTTTACGAGAGGAAGTACGAAGTGCATATCACAAGTCAAAACCAGAGGGCGGCGACGTCACCAGCAATAGTGCACAAGACCCAACAGTGGATCCAAACACTGAATCAATAAAAGAGGTTGCTGATAATATACAAAATCAGAACAATGTTCCGCCAATCGTTTCTGTCGATGAAGCGGAAATAATTTCTGATATACAAAATTTGATTGACGAATGCTTTAATAAACCAGGTGACTAGTAAACTTAAACAAAATGTTTTATTAACGATGTTTTATAAATTTTATTTAACGATTTGTTTATAATAAACGATTGTACGATTGTGTTGTCGACAACATATTTTCATTAATGACTATTTTATGAATTTTCAAATTATTCCTGGTAGGTGTGTCACCAGATGCAACGAAGGGTTCTGGACTCGAAGACAACCAAAAAATTTCAGCAGCCCAAACTGAAATTGTTCCCGCTCCAGGAAATAATACAGGAACCATCAAGAAACAATTTTCGTCAATCCTGGAAGTCGACGACAAAACTGACGAATATCACAAAAACAATTTAATGACAGCAATTACGAAAAGTATTGACAAAGGTATTGACAAAATTGAGTTAACGACTGGAACGACGGACAATAATAACGACAGTACAGACAAAAATAAATTACCCGAAGAAATAGTGAAAAACAAAAACGGCAGTATTAACGAGACGATGGACAGTTCTAAAGATGAGACGATGGCACAAAATGACAAAAATTTAAGTAACAATAATCAACCACTCCCAAATCTAAATCTTAAACGACAGTTAGACACAAACGATGTGATCGACAAAAAATTGGAACAATTTTCTGAAATTGAGGTCAGATTGAGTTCTAAACTGACCCAATTAGAAAAAGTTATGGATGTCACCCACAAAATGCATTCAAGCATGCAGGACAGCATGAAATTATGGTTGGATCAACGTGAAAAAGATATGCAGGTAAAACGACCCAAAATTACAGAGGATGTAATTTTAGCACAAAATTCTAAATTTACTATTCCCCTAGTTCAAACGAAAGTTCCTAATGATAATCAATTGTCTAACAATAATATAACGACAGTTAACGATTCTAAAATTAATTCAAACAATTCAAAAGTTTTTTAATCAGATTAAAGAGGCAATTAAAATTGAATTAATTGGCAAAGACAGTGGTATTAAATACGATTACAAAATAACACCTCAAAGTAAATTCGAACATTTTCACGAGTTTTTGTTTTCTGAATTACGAACTTCCGAGTTACTTTACGTAGTTGATTCGTCAATTCCTCCCCCAGATGGTTTGAACGAAAAACAAAAAGAAAAACTTCATTTTAAAGTTCGCGACATTTTGATAAATCGAATAGATAAAGCATATCACTCACGAGTTTTACTTCTTCAAGACCCTAACGAAATTTTAAATAAATTAAAAGAATTTAAACGATGCGAAGTAAATTTAACGACTGTAACTGCGCGAAAACAACTATATACAATTCAGTACGATCCGAAACGACAAACGGCAATTAAATTCATTGATAGATTCGAAGATATAATTTTAAACTATGAAAATATTCCCGGTTCCACACCATTAGCTGACGAAGAAAAACGCGACGCTTTATTTAACGCTATAATGAATAAAATTCCCGAAGTTCAATCGATAGAATTTATGACAAAAAGTCAAACAGGCAAAAGTTTAAATTTCGATACACTGAAAATGTTTATTGTGCAGGCTGAAGCCAACCGTTTGCAAGCGGCAAACAAGACACATCCGGCTTCTAATCAAACTACTGTAGCTTCCGTCCAATATGCAAACTCCGGCAAAACAAAATTCACTAACGTTGTTACGAATGCGACGAATTTGGACACATGAATAACGAGTGTCCTTTAAAGGGACAAGGTCTTAAAAAATGCTATGAATGTCAGGAGTTCACGGCCCACAAAGCTTTCCAGTGTCCTCAACGACTGGCACGACAAGGAGGAGCAGGACGAGGTAGAGGTCGTGGAATCACAGGTAAGCGTTGGTTCAATCTAAACAATAAGTACAATTTTCAGTATCGTTCAAATAACAAACGACAGTTCAAAAATAAAGAAAATACAAATTTTAAACATTCGAACCCTTTCAAAATTTCTAATAATAAAAATAAACAATTTGTCAAAAACAATAACGACAGTCAAAACAAAAAACATTTAGCTAACAAAACTGACAGTTCACAAAATCAACAAAGACAGTCACGTACAGGTACGAGTAACGAACTAAAAATTAATTTCGCTGAGCAAATCTTCTTTCACTAAGAAAATTAGCTGAGGCAGGTTATTCGACTTACTTAGATGACAAGTGTGTTAACATTTTTGATAAAAAAACTCACTCCTTTAAAAGAATCCAAAAACGACAATGTAAACTTGAGTAAAGCAGTGGTTTGGCATAGTCGTATGGGCCATGCTTCTGTGAGTTATTTACGTAAATTACAGGAGTTATGGAAAAATAATAAAGAATTACAGACAGTTGTCTTCGATGATAGTATTTTGAATTGTGAAGTTTGTGCCTTAAGTAAATTAACGAAATTACCTTTTAAAAACGAGAGAACAAGAGCAACACGACCGTTACAAATTATCCATTCGGATGTAATGGAGAAAATCTCTCCACCTACACATCCTCACGGATTTCAATACATAGTAGTATTCATCGACGATTATTCACGAATGGCATTGGCTTATCCAATGAAAACCAAAGACGAGACCGGATCATGTTTAGAAAAGTTTATTAAAAGTTCTCGAAACTTACTCGGTACTAACGAAAAAATTTGCTATTTAAGACCAGATCAGGGATCCGAATACATGGGTGGTTATACGAACGATGTATTCGTACGCGAAGGAATAGAACGACAGTGCGCTAATCCCGACACTCCTTAACACAACGGTGTGTCAGAAAGATTTAACCAAACGATTCAAAAAAAGATAAGATCTCTTATGTTCGATTCTAAACTTCCGCCAAATATGTGGGATTTAGCATTCGGAGTAGCAACCTATGTTTACAACAGAACACCACATAAATCAATTGATTTTGAAGCTCCATTAAAGATATTTGCTCCCCATTTCCATTTTGATTTAAATCAAATTAAACGATTCGGTTGTTTAGCTTATTGGTCAATTACACGAAAACCAGAATCCAAGTTTTCTGCGCGAGCTATACGAGGTATTCTAGTAGGCTATACTACGACAGATTACGTGTTTCTTAACCCAGAATCCGGAAAATTCTTTGAATCTCGAAATGTCAGATTTAACGAAAAAGTAGTTTACGGCGACCGATTCAAAAAAGACTCTATTCAATACTGGCCAAATCCAGAAATGAATCTATCAGTAAACGATTGGTTTATAAAATTCGATGACGAAAATAAAACTGATTTTCAAAAAATTGACGAAGAGTTGATAGAATCGGAGGGAGTTCAACTAAAGAAACGTGGTAGACCTCGAAAAAGACTTTTAGAAACGGAGGGAGAAAAATCAAACGGAAATGCGAAAAAGATTAAGTTAACGAGAGAACCCTATAAAACACGTAGTCGAAAAGTAGTCGACATTAGCTTTTTACAAGTGTCAGACTTAACAGATATTCCGATTAATTACACCGTTCCGTGTTTAGAAGACGAGTTAACTAGAACAAAAAATAAAACCGAAGATAAAATTTTATTTTGCTTACATGCCGAATTAAATGACGATCCGTTAAATTTTAAACAAGCAATTAAATCTTCTGATAAAAACGAGTGGTTAAAAGCTATCGACGACGAATTATAATCATTGAATAAAAATAAAGTTTGGTCAATCGTAGATCGACCGAAATTTGGCAAGAACGGTAAAAAGGCAAACATCATAGATTCGAGATGGGTTTTTAAACGAAAATACGACAGTCCCGGAAAAATTAAATTTAAAGCTAGATTAGTAATTCGTGGTTTTAAAGACTCGAATTCGTATGATTTGAAAGAAACTTACGCTCCAGTTTCTCGACTCACTTTAGTTCGAACTATTCTCGCTATTATAAATTATTACGATTTAGAAGCTTATCAATTAGACGTCAAACCCGCCTTTTTAAATGGTATTTTAGAAGACGAAATTTATATGGAAATTCCAGATGGAGTAGAAATATCCGAAAATTCACCACAGTTAAAGGTTTGCAAGCTGCACAAAGCAATTTATGGTTTACGAGTTAGTCCCAAACAATGGAACAAAATGTTCTCTGAAGCAGCTCTTTCGTTGGGACTAGTAAATGACGATTATGAACCCTGTTTGTTCACTTGGCGTTCAGATGATTCAATAGTTATTTTATTGATTTATGTAGACGACATTTTACTTGCTAGTAATGACCGTAAGAAAATGCTAGAAATTAAAGAAAAACTCATGATCTCGTTTGAAATGACTGATTTAGGCGAACCAAAACATTATCTAGGCATGAACATACGAAGACAAAGAGATATAAAAATAATGACTGTCACTCAAGAAAATTACATTGAGAAAATTCTAACAAAATTTGGTTTTGACAATGAATTCCCGAAAAACACACCGACGATAACTCGACAGGTAATGAATCGCGAACGAAGGCAACGAGAAGAAGTTGAGTGTGACGAAAGTAACGAAAAATCTCTGGACATTCCTTACAGAGAAACGATAGGTAGTCTTTTGTACTTATCTGCGGCTACACGTCCAGATATAGCTTACGCGGTTAATGTGTTGAGTAGACATCAAATCAATCCGCCCGAAAACGAATGGAACATGGTCAAAAGAGTTTTTCAGTACCTCAAAGGAACGAAAGAATTAGGTCTAAAATTTCTGAGCAAAAGAAACGACTTGCTAGCTTATTCCGACGCAAGTTTCGCGGATTGCAAAAATTCCATCTCGACTTGCGGTTTTCTGATACGACTGTTTGGTGATACGATTGCTTGGCGAGCCAATAAACAAACTTATGTTGCTCTTTCAACCTGTGAAGCTGAATTTGTTGCGATGAGTCAGGCTTGTCAGGAAATAATCGCGACTAATAAATCTCTAATGAGAATCTTTGTTTAAAGTTTTCTCCCAGCGACTTTGAAATGCGATAACAAAGCCGCAACGATCTGTAGTAAGACTAATGGTGGAAATAGACTAAGACATATGACCGATGTTCATCAAGATTATGTAAAAGAATGTGTCAAATACGACAGAGTAAATATTGAGTGGGTCTCGACTAAGAAACAATTAGCCGACATTAGGACCAAACCTCTTGATTTCGACGTTCACACTCAATTGCGAGACAAAATTCTTAATCACGATAGTTACTGATTGAGGAACTGTTTTTAAAAATGACTGTTTATCCATTACTTACCATGAACTGTAATAAACGACAGTTTTTTTTAATAATACTTGTTTTTCTAATAGTTTGTTACAGCGATAGCGACTAGTTCTTCGCAAGCTGACGACCAATGTACCATGTGACGAGAGTAGATTGATATTTTCCATTGATACTCAAGTGAACTAATATTTTACCTAAAGGACTCAAGTAATTTTATATATATATATATATATATATATTGTAACGTGGTAATTTAATTACCCCGTTTAAAACAGTTTTCAGAGGTTTCGCCGAAAACTAAGTTATTAGTAGAATTTTTAATATTAATTAAATATCGCGTTTTTGATATAAAGTAAGAAAAATAATAGCCAAACCCGGACTCAACCTTTATATTTTTCTTTATTGGTTATTATTTTGTAAAAGATAATTATTGTATTTTTTATATATAACTCTTACTTTATTTACTTTGTTTATAATAATTTGTAAAAGAAAACATGTACAAATTATTACTGAAAAAGAGCGATAATATATTTCTCAATAAATAGAGAAATCCACATTTGCTCAAATTATTATTTTGTTATTTTATAAAACTTGATCAGTCGGGTGAGAAAGAAGATTTCAATGAAGAAGATCTTCACATTTTTGGAGTTTTATTATTAATTATTCACATAATTAATAATCACATCCGATATTGATTGAGATCTGACACGGAAGTATACCGAGGATGTCAACCCTCTGGGGCCACACGCATTGCGCAGGTCACTGGGTCAGGCGACCCTGCTGTTGCAAATCAGTTCGAATTTGGCTACTCACCGATTAAGACACAAAATCAATTTATTATTTATCTCGTTTAATTGTTTTACCGGTATAACCGCAGATATGGAATATCGGAAGATATTAAATAAAATAAAAGGTTAGTGAGCAGTTCTTCCTGTCATTTGGCATCCTTGTAGTGAAATTGCACGGAAAAACCGAGAATAAACAGGAAAATATTGGCCGACCGCATGGCAAGGAAAATGGACGCCAACCTGTTCTCACCGGCTGATCTCACCGCCTAGTAGTGTGGATTTCTCGAGTGTAATAATTGAGTTATTTAATAAATTCAGAAATAATTTATATAAAAATTATTTTAATTACAGTGTTTTATTTATTAAATTCAGTGTAGTGTGTCGTTCTCTCTCACCTGTGTGTGTAACTCACGTCCTGAGAATAAAATAAATGTTTCGCTTAGTGTAATGTGTGAACTCGCGGTAAGTCGAGCTAGCCCGGGTAGAGTTCACACTTCGAAACGGTCAACGGGGATCCGGGTAATCTTTTACCTGGCGCTGAGGAGGAACCTCTAAACGGATCACCGTGGGTCTTTTTATAAATTCGAAGCGTGGAATTTATAAATCGGAAAAGTGTATAATCAACGCCATTTTTGTAGCGTCTTCTCTATGGAATTTTCCGTTGAGCATATGTTCGACGGGAATATAGGAAATTCGTAGAGAGAGATAGAGCATATCGTTACAATATATACGAAGACATAAAGTAAAAAGAAAACCAACGTGCCAATGAAAATTCTGGTTGTGATTAAAATTATATATATAAATTAAAGTTAATTTTAATATAGTTTTTGTTAAAACTACGAGCAGTAAGTTTAAGCTTTTTTTGTACGTTAATATGATTTTATATATTTTTAGT